CAAAAACGTCTTTTTATCTGGTTTGTCAAAACCAGGTTCTAGTCCAGAGCTAAGTATTGCATCTGGTTACTATGTCTCCATGTTCTGTCTCCTAACTTAGCATTGTCCCTTCCTTTTTTCTCTCTTTTTTTTTTTTAACAGGTTTTTCTGAGGTATAACTTACATACCATAAAATTTACCTGTTTAAAGTGTACAGTGCAAAACTTTTTAGTAAATTTATAAAGTTGTACAACCATCACCACAGTTAAATTTTACGAAATTTCTAGCACCCCAAAAAGGTCCCTTGTGCCTTCCCTCCTCCCAGCCCTAAGCAACCAATTTATCTACTTTCTGTCTCTCTAGATTTGCCTTTCCTGACATTGCATATAAATGGAATCATGCAACATGTGGTCTTTTGTGTCTGGCTTCTTTCACTTAGCAAAGTTTTTGAAGGGTCATCCATGTTGTGGTATATACCAGTACTTCCTTTTCACGGCTGGGTAAGAGCCCATTGTATGGCTAAATCACATTTTGTCTGACTGTTCATCAGTTGATGGACATTTTGATTGTTTCCACTTTTTGGCTGTTACTCATAACGCTGCTTTGGACTTTCAGGTGCAAGTATTTGTGTGGACATAGATTTTCATTTTCTTGGGTATATACCTAGAGTAGAATTGTTGGGTCATATGGTAGATGTATGTTTACATTTCTTAAGAAACTGTTAAAACTGTTTTCCAGACTCAGCCTCCTTTAGTTATGTGGCACTTATAAAGAAAGTAGGTTTGGGTCCCACGTACAGCCTCTTTTGTATTTATTTGGTTGTTTTCTTGGGATGTCTTTTATAGATTGTCCTCAGTCTCCTGCATTTTCTATAAACTAGAAGTTAGATCTGGAGTTTTGTGGATTCAAATTAATTGTTTCTGGCTGGAATACATCATAGGTTGTTTTATCATTTTGGGTCATATCAGCAGGTACATATTTTGTTTGTTTTTTTGAGATGGACCCTTGCTCTGCCGCCAGTCTGGAGTGCAGTGGCGCCATCTCGATTCACTGCAACTTTCACCTCCTGGGTTCAAGCAATTCTCCTGCCTCAGCCTCCTGAGTAGCTGGGACTACTGGTGTGTGTCACCACACCCAGCTAATTTTTGTATTTTTAGTAAAGACGGGGTTTTACCATGTTGATCAGTTTAGTCTCTATCTCTTGACCTTGTGATCCACCCACCTCGGCCTCTCAAAGTGCTGGGATTATAGGCATGAGCGACTGTGCCCAGTCATTAGCAGGTACATATTTAAGTTTTTTTCCGAGTCGATGTTGGGTCCAGCATCATTTGTTGAAAAAATTGTTTCCCCCACTTAATTACCTTTTTTTTTTTTTTTTTTTTGAGGTGGGGTCTCACTGTTGGTCAGGCTAGAGTGCAGCAGCATGATCTTTTCTCCTGGGCTCAAGCAATCCGCCTACCTCATCCTCGACTCAAGCAATCCTCCCACCTCATCATCCTGAGTATCTGGGAGCACAGGCACACACTACCACACCCAGCTAATTTTTTGTATATATTTGGTAGAGATGAATTTTCACCATGTTGCCCAAACTAGTCTCAGACAGGCTGGTATCAAACTCCTGAGCTCCAGGGATCCACACATCTTGGCCACCCAAAGTGCTGGGATTACAGTCATGAGCTACTGCATGTAGCCTATGTGTGGTTCTATTTACAGGGTTTTTTGTTTGTTTTTGTTTTGAGACAGGGTCTTGTTTTGTCACCCAGGCTGGAGTACGGTGGTGCAAACAGAGCTCACTGCAGCTTCTCTCCTTTCTTGGCTCAAGCAGACAGTCTTCCTACCTCAGGTTCCCAAGTAGCCACCATGCATTGCTAATTTTTGTAGAGACTGAGTTTTGCCATGTTGCCCAGGCTGACCTCAAACTCTTGGGTTCAAGTAGTCCTTGCACCTTGGCCTCCCAAATGGTGAGATTACAGGCATAAGCCACTGAGCCTGGAGTATTTATGGATCTTTTTTTTTTTTTGAGAAGGAGTTTCGCTCTTGTTACCCAGGCTGGAGTGCAATGGCACGATCTTGGCTCACCGCAACCTCCGCCTCCTGGGTTCAGGCAATTCTCCCGCCTCAGCCTCCTGAGTAGCTGGGATTACAGGCACGCGCCACCATGCCCAGCTAATTTTTTATATTTTTAGTAGTGATGGGGTTTCACCATGTTGACCAGGATGGTCTCAATCTCTTGACCTCGTGATCCACCCGCCTCGGCCTCCCAAAGTGCTGGGATTACAGGCTTGAGCCACTGCACCCGGCCGTATTTATGGATCTTTTTTTGGAGACAGAGTTTCACTCTTATTGCCCAGACTGGAGTGCAATGGTGCGATCTTGGCTAATCGCAACCTCCGCCTCCTGGGTTCAAATGATTCTCCTGCCTTAGCCTCCTGAGAAGCATGCGCTGCCACACTTGGCTAATTTTGTATTTTTAGTAGAAATGGGTTTCTCCATGTTGGTCAGGCTGGTTTCAAACTCCCGACCTCAGGCAATCAGCCCGGCCCTATTTATGGATCTTTAAAGAATCCCTGCAGCCTTTCTGAACTCCAATCTCTGTGTTACCTAAGGTTCTACTCCTAGTACCAAGACCTAGAATATGCCTCCACATAGGAAGTTGGGCTGAATATGGGGCTTACTTCCTGTGTTTCCTTTCTCTTAAGGACCTGTCTTTGTTGGCTTTTTCTATTCAATTGTTTCACATATTTTGTTTCATTTTCCAGTTGGGATTTTTTGTTTGTTTGTTTTTAATAGTGAGAATACAAGATCCATGCTCCTTGTTAGTCAGAAGCAAAAGTTTGTTTCTCTCTGTCTCTCTCTCAGATAGTTTCTATTCTGTGTCTTCAAGTATTCTGATACTTTCCTTTTTAGTATCCCATCTGCTAAACTCATCTAATGTAATTCTCATTTCAGACGTTGTATTTTTCACTCTAGAAGTTCCATTTGGTCTTATTTTGTATCTTCCATTTCTTTTCACTTTATATTTGTTTTCCTTTAAATCCTTCAGCATATTAAATATATATGTGTGTATGTGTGTATATATGTATGTGTGTGTGTGTGTGTGTGTGTGTGTGTGTGTGTATATATATATTTTTTTTTTTGAGATGGAATTTCGCTCATTACCCAGGCTGGAGTGCAATGGCATGATCTCAGCTCACTGCAACCTCCGCCTCCTGGGTTCAAGCAATTCTCCTGCCTCAGGTTTCCGAGTAGTTGGGATTACAGGCATGTGCCACCATGCCCAGCTAATTTTTTTGTATTTTTAGTAGAGATGAAATTTCACCATGTTGACCAGGATGGTCTCAATTTCTTGACTTCATGATCTACCCACATCAGCCTTCCAAAGTGCTGGGATTGCAGGCATGAGCCACCATACCTGACTAAGCATATTTATAATAGCTGTTCTTAAGGTCTTATTTTGCTGATTCTGTCATCTCTGTAATTCCTGTTCTTTATTGATTTTTCTCCTGGTTATAGGTCACACTTTTTTCTGCTTTTTTGGCATATCTAGTAATTTATGATTGGATGCCAAGCATTGTAAGTTTCTGAGCACTTGGATTTTATTGTCTTTCTTTAAAGTTTGTTTTGACTGACAGTAAGTTATGTACTTGCTGTCAGCTTGATTTCAAAAAAAAAAAGCTTGTTTTTAAGCTTGATTAGGGTATGTCTAAAACACTTAAAACACTTCTACTCTAAGACTAGTTTCCTTTTTTTTTTTTTTTTTGAGACAGGATCTTGCTGTCACACAGGCTAGAGTGCAGTGACACAATTATTGCTACTGCAGCCCTGAACTCCTGGGTTTAAGCAGTCTTCCTGTCTCACTCTCCTGAGTAGCTGAACCACAGGTACACACCACCATGCTAGGCTAATTTTTAAATTTTAGGGTCTCCCTTTGTTGCCCTGGCTAATCTATTTTTAATATCAGGGCATGTCCATCTAGGGTCTCTCTACTGTTTGAGTATTTGCTCAGGTCTCTTTACCCTGTCTGGACAGAATTAGAATGCCTCCCAGGTATTTCTGTACCACTTACTCCTTCAAGGCCAGGATCTGATACCTCAGTGGAATATTCTGATACAGAATATATGATACACTGATATTCTGACGTAACTGAAACAATATATCAGAAACAGCTTTCATTAAAAATTGTACTTTGAGTACCCATACAACCTTTCTGTTTTTCACTTTCAGTACAGTGTTCACTAAATTGCTTGATTATAAAAGAGACTACTTTGTGTTAGATGATTTGGCCCAACTGTAGGCTAATGTAAGTGCTCTGAGCATATTTAAGGTAGCCCAGCCTGAGCTAGGAGAATCGCTTGAATCCAGGAGGCAAAAGTTGCTGTGAGCTGCGTTCCAGCCTAGGTGACAAGGAGAGACTCTGTCTCAAAAAAAAAAAAAAAAAAAAAAAAAAAGGCTTTATTGGCATGTAACCACCATCATTAGTGAAGGAGCATCTGTGAATATCTTTTGATGTTATATTGTGGTATTTGATCCTCACCACAGCCAGTTAAATGAGTAGTATAATCTTCATTTTATAGGGAAGTATTTTATAGGGTAGCAAGGCCCAGGGAAATTGGTTTTGTGACATATTCTTAAGTGGTAGAGCTGGGTCTTGAGCCCAGATCTTCTGGTTTTATTAGTCATGTTCTTTAAGCTACTTGAGAACAGAACAGTTTTTCATGGAGTATTTTCTTAATTATGTGGCTCGCATTAAACATATCTCAAATTAGGAAGATATATCCTCACATGGAAATATATGAGATCATTTGTTTTTCTTCCAGAAAAGCTGTCATTGAATCAGTTGTGGTGCCTCTGAAATCACTGTCTTAGAATCAAGGAAATGTATAGATCTCGCTCTACTGCCTAATAGAGCCTTTACCATAATATATGCTTGGTAAATATTTGTATGCTAGGTTCAAGAATAAGTTGATTGTATAAAGCAAAATGTGCTTCTAAAAGTTGTATGCCTGTGCTTGTCTCTTCAGGTACTTTATGCATGGTGTGTGTCGGGAAGGAAGCCAGTGCTTATTCTCACATGACTTGGCAAACAGCAAGCCGTCCACCATCTGCAAGTACTACCAGAAAGGCTACTGTGCCTATGGAACTCGGTGCAGGCAAGGACTCTGCAACAGGCTCCAGCTGTGACACTGATTTCATTTGGAGAATGGTTCTGTATAAGGGGGAAATTTTAATGTAAAAGTAATATGACAACATTACAAAAAGTATGGCAAATAAGTTTAAAACCTCAGTTTTAGCACCCTAAAACTAAGTTAGTTTTTTTTCTTTCCTCACTTTGTTACTCAGGCTAGAGTGCAGTGGCGTGATCTCTGCTCACTGCAAACTGATTCTCCCACCTCAGCCTCCCCAGCAGCTGAGACTACAGATGCGTGCCATTGTGCCTGGCTAATTTTTATATTTTTAGTAGAGACTGGGTTTCACCATGTTGGCCAGGCTGGTCTCAAACTCCTGACCTCGTGATCTGCCTGCCTCAGCCTCTCAATGTACTGGGATTACAGGCATGGACCACTGTGTCTGGCATTTTCTTTTTTCTTTTTTTTTTGAGACAGAGTCTCACTCTCTTGCCCAGGCTGGAGTGCAGTGGCACGATCTTGGCTCATTGCAACCTCTGTCTCGTGGGGTTCAAGCAGTTCTCCTGCCTTAGCCTCCCGAGTAGCTGGTACTACAGGCATGTGTCCCCACACCTGGCTAATTTTTTGTATTTTCAGTAGAAATGGGGTTTCACTATCTTAGGATGGTCTTGACCTCCTGACCTGGCGATCCACCCACCTTGGCCTCCCAAAGTGCTGGGATTACGGGTGTGAGCCATTGCACCCGGCCTAATTTTCATTTTTTAAAACTACTTTTCAGCCTTATGAATATCTAGTTATAAAATTGTACTCAATTCCAGAAATCTGTTCATGCTTTTGTAGTGAAGAGCTGATCTTTTCTTTCCTAGGCTGCAAAGCTTCTTTCCCTGCTTCCTTTGTGCAGTGCAGTGGGAAATGATAGAATCAGGCCCACCTTGATCTCCCTCTGCCAGTGAACACCAAGAGAGACAGTCAGGGAGAGATCATTGGCCCTTGTCAACATTTTGAGGACTCCTGCTCAAAAGGACACTTGGTCAGTCAGGCATCAGGAGATTTTACCTGAACATCTCTTTGGAGCTTTCAGGCTCTCTGTGTGTCTGTCCCACTCAAGTCCCACAGGGACACTTAGGCATAGGTGGTAGATAGCAAATATCCCACTCACACTGAATTGCCAGGCATCTGTTAATAATCGATAAGCCTATTAGAGTTTAAATATTCGAAAAGATGGTCTCCTTCTTCACCTCGACAAGTGCAGCAGGAGGAGGGCCATTGGTGTTTGAGGAGTGTGGCATCTGGGAATGTGTGTGGGTGGCATGTCTGTAATGTGTCTGCTGTTTGTTTTGTTTAGATATGACCACACAAGGCCCTCTGCTGCAGCTGGAGGTGCTGTGGGCACCATGGCCCACAATGTACCCTCTCCGACTTTTCACAGTCCTCACCCTCCTTCTGAGGTCACTGCATCCATTGTGAAAACTAACTCACATGAACCTGGGAAGCGTGAAAAGAGAACATTGGTTCTCAGAGACCGAAGTGAGTAAGCGGAAGCCTTTTGTTGCATCTTTTTGCATAGTACTCTCGTATATGCTTGTTGCTCCTTTCTAGCCTCCTCTTGTGAAGAAGACTCCTAACCTAATACATCTCCAGGTTGTCTACGTGTAGAGACTCCAGAACTGTTCTGAAGAGGCTCCATGTGGCTGCAGATCATTCGGATGATACATTTACTCTCGTGCCCAAGGCTGTGGGTTGAGCTCCAAGACTGGCCTGGCAAAACATAAAAAAGCAATCTTTTTGTCAACATGTAGCTTCCATCTTCATATGGTGGTTGTCCAGTTGGTGAGAAGCATCAAGTTCCTCATTTCAAAACTAAATATTTTGTCTGGGTGTGATGGCTCATGCCTGTAATCCCAACACTGGGAGACTGAGGCAGGTGGATCACCTGAGGTCAGGAGTTTGAGACCAGCCTGCCCAATATGGTTTAGTGGAAACCCCGTCTCTACTAAAATACAAAAATTAGCTGGGTGTTGTGGCAGGCATCTGCAATCCCAACTACTTGGGAGGCTGAGGCAGGAGAATTGCTTGAACCCAGGAGGCAGAGGTTGCAGTGAGCTGAGATCATGCCACTATACTCCAGCCCAGGTGACAAGTGTGAGACTTCATCTCAAAAAATAAATATTTTACTGAAGAGCATGTTTCACTGTTTGACTTTTAGGCCAGTGAGTAGTTTTAGTTCTTATGCTGACAGTGTTTGACATTTCAGATTGTACCTTGGGGAACAGAATAGCACACTAGGATTTGGGACATGGTCTGTGACCTAAAACAGAGTTTGATGAGGAAGAAAGCTACAAATTGTAAAAGTTGTTTTTATTGGATGGTCCTCACCAGGTGAAGAGATTTCTAGTTCTTGGAACTGAGTACCATGAGGTAGGCAGATTCCATCCTCAGCAAATGGGTAATCCTATGAGAATACATGACCTCTAAACAAGCTCAGAGATGTGCAGTGGGAAAGCAGCAGTTCCTGGTGTGAGAAGGGGTCACCATGGGGCAGTTTACACCGGCCTCAGGACTCACCCTCAGGACTCACAGATTTGCTCTAGACATCTATTCTAGTTCACTTAAAATGATTGATAACTTTGCTGGTATAAAGGAAATACTGTGTTCTAATGATCTCACTGTTTTTTTGTTTGTTTTAATGTTAACTGGTCCATGTGTTCTTTTGTATAAGTGTATCCTGTTGTTTTGCTATTTCCCTGTGTTGCCATTTAAAAAAAAAAATTTTATTATAATTAATGTTACTATGAACATTTTATATTATTCCTTTTATTTTTCCCCCTCAGTCTATTTTTTGCCATATGTCCTCAAGTGTAGAATTCTTAGGTCAGAGTAGCTTAATATGTTAGGCTTTGGCTAATGTCATATGAGAAAAATTGGGCTATTTTCGTGTGTGTGTGTTCTGTGTGTTATATTCAGATCTCTCTGGCATGGCTGAAGGAAAGACTAACCCGAGCATGGTGAGTAATCTAGGCAGCTGCAGTGACTCCCAGCCCAGCCCCGAGATGAAGCCGACTTCCTACCTAGATGCCATTAGGAGTGGCCTTGATGACCTGGAGGCCAGCAGCTCCTACAACAATAAGCAGCAGCTGTGCCCCTATGCAGCTGCTGGGGAGTGCCGATTTGGGGATGCCTGTGTCTACCTGCACGGGGAGGTCTGTGAAATCTGTAGGCTGCGAGTCTTGCACCCCTTCGACCCAGAGCAGAGGAAGGCTCACGAAAAGGTAAAGTCAAAAACCTTTGCATGAACTCATGTTAAGAAATCTGAAATGTACTGAACAGGACACTGAAAGCCATGCCTACACACACCAAAAAAGAAATATGAAATGTACTAAGTGACAGAATTGTTGGTATTTCTACAGGCATCCTCCTGCCAGTAATATCCACAGTATGTATCTGGCATATTTACATCCTATTTTCAGCTTATTTTTCCTGCAGTGATTTTGCCAATTTTTTTTTTTTTTTAAACTGAGTCTTCCCTCTGTCAGCCAGGCTGGAGTGCAATGGTGCAATCTCAGCTCACTACAACCTCTACTTCCCCGGCTCAGGTGATCCCCCACCTCAGCCCTACTGAGTAGTTGGGATTACAGGCACTCACCACCACGCCTGGCTCATTTTTGTATTTTTAGTGGAGATGGGGTTTCACCTCGTTGGCCAGGCTGGTCTTGAACTCCTGACCTCAAGTGGTCTGCCTGCCTCAGCCTCCCAAAAGGCTGGGATTACAGGCATGAGCCACTGTGCCCAGTCTATTTTGCCAATTTTTGATTACTCAGAATAAAGAGAAAAAGAAGTGGTATCTGAAACATAAAATCATGCTAAGTTCGAAGAACAGATCTAGCTGGGGAACATGGTATGTTGTCTGTGTGTCTCTGTCACACGCAGGCAGTTATAGCATCCTCCCTCCCTGGGTTCACACTTCCTCATGATAGGAATCCAGCGAAGTCAAGTTTTGGAAGATTTGAGGCCAGATCATAGTATCTGAGGAGCTACTTGTGGGAAGGACCTTTTAAAGTCATTAATATCTGCAGTGTTTAGGGAGGATCTGCCTTATGCTAGGCCCTGTGTGTGGCACAGAGGGTACGAAGCTGGATAAGAGTCAGGGGAGGGCCAAGCGTGGTGGCTCACACCTGTAATCCCAGCATTTTAGGAGGCCAAGGCAGGCAGATCACTTGAGCCCACAAGTTCAAAACCAGCCTGGGCAACATGGCAAGATCCCCGTGGCATGGAGGCTTGGCTTTTAACATTTTGTTTTATTTTTAACAGAGATGAGGTCTTGCTGTGTTGCTCAGGCTGGTCTTGAACTCCTGAGATCAAGCAGTCCTCCTACCTTGGCCTCCCAAAGTGCTGGGAGTACAGTTGTGAGCCACTGCACCCGGCCTAAGGCATGTTTAAATGGACAGTGTATTCCTAGATAATCAAGGGGTAAGTTAGTACTGACTCCATGTGGCAATGGACAAGGAGCCACTCTCTATTGTCTTTCAGGGAAGCAGAGAGAGCTTTCTTCTTTATGCAAGTGTGTGAGGTCTTTGTGTGCAGTGAGTGTTGGTTTGTCTTCGATCTGGACACACCGAGCTCACAAGGGCTGGGCCTAGGTTTTCTCTTTGCACTTGCTCAAATGCCAGCACATAGAAGGAATTCAGGGCATGCCTAGTGAATGAATGAATTCATTGAATCATTTTTTGGGGGAGAATTGGTGCAGCTTACATATGACTAGGCTGCCAGCCTTAAGGCTCATGGTAAGGACGAGTCAGCGTCTCTGATGTTGGCGTGGCTCGAAGTTGGGGAATCAGTGCCCAGAGGAGGTGGGGGACAAGGGCCGCAGTCCTTATGGACTCTGAGTCTACTGCAGTTTAACCTGTTTGGATCTCCGTCGTCTCAGCTCTCAATGGGTGGTGACCTTGTCACCTCCTAGGAAAGCAAGGGCTGGACCAGTGATGGTTTGAAGTCCTTTGTGTGGTCTGAGGGAGATGTCATTGTTCTGACTGTGGCAGAGGCTGGGCCTTCCTCACAGCAGTCCCTGTCAGTGTTCCTTCCTGATCTCAGCTGTGGCAGACTATGTGGCTGCAGTTGCTTCTAGGGCTCCTGCTACTCCTTGGTGGCCCACAACCAAAGGTTTCCTTCCTGTCTGTACTTCAGATCTGCATGTTGACATTCGAACATGAGATGGAGAAGGCCTTTGCCTTCCAAGCAAGCCAGGACAAAGTGTGCAGTATCTGCATGGAAGTGATCCTGGAGAAGGCCTCTGCTTCTGAGAGGAGATTTGGGATTCTCTCCAATTGCAATCACACGTACTGCTTGTCCTGCATCCGACAGTGGCGGTGTGCCAAACAATTTGAAAACCAAATCATTAAGTAAGTACAGCCAGGAGTCTTAGCAGTAGGAGCTGGAAGAATGTTTGAGACTTTATTCCATCCACCTTTAAGCCCTCCCTCACCCTCCAGGGGTATCTTAGTGCAGAGTAACTGGTGAGTTCTGGCCCCTGGCTATGTCAACTTCAGCAGGTCACTTACTTTTCCTGAGCCCAAGTGGGTAAAAGATGGGCAATAATTGCTACCAGGCTTTCTGCGTTCTGGGGAGGAACTCAGCAAAGGTGATCTGTGTAAAAAGGTGTTAAATGGCACTGGCCTGTTTATCTCCTTGCCTTGTGTTTGAAATCCAGTACTATCTGCCCACAGCCCAATGCCGTTAGTCTTTTTGAGCTTCATATTTTCCCCCACCAAAAATGAAAATAGGGTTACTTGAGGATTAAATGGAATAATGCATGTAAAACATTCTGCATGATGCCTGGTGCATGGGATGTGCTCAGTGCGGCCAACATTGGAGTTTCAAATTCTCCAGCAGGACAGGGGAAGAGCTGACATGTGGAGAGGTCGCTGCACGCTTTGTACTGTTCAGAACTCTTCACATCTGTCTGCTCATTTCATTCTCTCAAAGACCCTCCTCAGTTACAGATTAGGAAACAGGCCTGGTGAGCTCAAGTAACTTGCCGAAAATCATGTGGTAAAATAACTGCTTTATTGAGATAAAAGCACACAATTTAGTTCACCACTCATCTGCTTTCTGTCTCTAGAGTTGCCTATTCTGGACACTTGTTATAAATGGAATCATGGGATATGTGGCCTTTTGTGCCTGGCCCCTTTTGCTGAGCGTAGCGTTGTTAGAATCCATCCTGACTGTAGCATGTGCCCGTGCTCCTCCTTGTGGCTGAATTGCATTCCATTGTATGGACACACCACATTTCCCTTATCCATTCCTCAGCTAGTGGACATTTGGGCTGTTTCCACTTTGTAACTATTATGAATAATGCTGCTGTCAACATTTGTGAACATAGTTTTGGGGGGAATGTGTGTTTTCATTTCTCTTGGGTATCCACCTAGGCATGAGATTGCTAGGTTTTATGGTATAATAACTCTGTGTTCGAGAATCTGCCAGACTCTGTTCAAAGTGGCTGCAACCATTTTACATTCTCACCAGCAGTGTATGAGGGTTCTTATTTCATCTCTCTTTTTTGTTGAAGAAACCCTTTTTTTTTTAACTTTAAGTTCTAGGATATATGTGCAGAATGTGTAGGTTTGTTACATAGGTATACATGTGCCAAGGTGATTTTCTGCACCTCTCAACTTGTCACCTAGGTTTTAAGCCCCACATGCATTAGCTATTTCTCCCTCCCCTTCCCCCGACACTGACAAAGCCCCCGTGTGTGATGTTCCCCACACGTGTCCATGTGTTCTCATTGGGAAACTCTATTTTTTTAATAGTAAATAAGTAATAGTAAATATTAGATCAAAGCTATGCAAAGCTCTGCAATTTATGAATAAGTAATAGGAACTATTATTTACTATTTACTTATTATTTTAATAGTAAATAAAAAATAGTAAATAAGGTTCTTGGATGATTGTGATTTCATTTTTTGTAATTTCTGGTTAAGGAAATGCCTATAGTGCATTGAGCAAGAGGTTTAGCAGAGAGGATGCACAGGCTTCGTAATGTGACCTCTCCCTTACTAATCTAACTCTTATTTCAGGTCTTGTCCAGAATGCCGTGTGATATCAGAGTTTGTAATTCCAAGTGTGTATTGGGTGGAAGATCAGAATAAAAAGAATGAGTTGATTGAAGCTTTCAAACAGGGGATGGGGTAAGTGCTTTGAGTTTCGACATGTCCCTGCTGCCTGCCTAGCTCTGCTGTTGGTCTGTGTCCTTGCTGTCCCTCCCAGGACTGTGGCCTTAGGGGCCTCTTCCTCTCTTCTCTCATGCACCATTCTGGGCTCTGGGATGCAGCAATGAACAAGGACATGGTAATGTAGACCAGTTTAATTTTTGGTGATTTTATTTATTTATTTTTGTTTTGTTTTGTTTTATTTTATTTTTTGAGATGGGGTCTCACTGTGTTGCCCAGGCTGGAGTGCAATCTCAGTTTACTGTAGCCTCAGCCTCCCAGGCTCAAACAGTTATCCCACCTCAGCCTTTCAAGTAGCTGGCGCTACCAGTAGCACCACCATGCCTATTTTTTTTTAGTAGAGATGAGTTTTTGCAACGTAGCCCAGGCTGGTCTTGAACTTCTGGGCTCAAGTGATCCTCCTGCCTCGGCCTCCCAGAGTTCTGAGATTATAGACATGAACTACTATGCCTGGCCTAGTTCTTTTTCAGTTGCCTGTTGTCAAATGTCTTGTGGGTTTATCACTGGGAAACAGGGAGGCAACACAGCTATGCACTTTGCTGTCTGTATGTGAGTGCATAGCAGGTGACTGGAGGAATGATAGTGGTGCATATTTGTTTATGTAGGGATTTGGACCAAAGAGCTAATAGCAAAATGGGTGTTTTAGGTAGTTACAGTTGATGATTGTGGTAATTAAAATTTGAACTGTGTTGTTGGAGGACAAGTATTATGTAACTAAACAGTGGTGTGTCCTTTTCTTAGGGCTATTGTAACAAATTACCACAACTCAGGTGTCTGAAAGCAATAGCAAGGTATCCTCTCAGTTCTGGGGGCTAGAAGTCCAAAATCAAGGTGTGGGCAGGGTCCAAAATCTCAGCTGTAGTAGTCCAAAATCCCTTTGGAGGATCTGAGGGAGATTCTGTTCCTGCCTTTCTTACCTGCTGGTTGTCCCTGCAGTTCTTGCTGTTCCCTGGCTGCAGCAGTGCCACTTCAGTCTCTGCCTTTGTCCTCACTGGCCTTCTCCCTGTGTCTTTCTCCTGCTCTGTCTCTTGAAAGGACAGATCACCATAGGACCCACCTGTTATCCAGATGACCTCGTCTGGAGATCCTTACTATAATTACACCTGCAAAGACCAGTTCCAAATTAGGCTTCATTCACAGGTGTCAGGGCTTAGGATTTGGACCTTTCTTTTGGAGGCCACAACACATGCCGATCACAGCTATGCAAAGTTCTGCAACTTATGCACATCAGAACTATGAAAGCAAGGCTGCCTGCATACCAGTTTATCAGTCTCCTATTGATGAATACCTGAGCTGTTACCACATTTTGGCTGTTTTCTAGGGATTAAAATATACTGTTAATTTTTCACAGTCAGAATACCTATTCTCACCACCTTACATGTGTCTTCATTATCTTTTGTACTATGGATATTATATGCATTCTATTTACATTCTTTATCAACCCCACAAAATAAAAATACAATTTTTGCCTTAAAATGCATGGCTTTTTTTCCATAGACGAAAAGTTTATTTACATAGGTAGTTACTATTTATTTCCAGTGTTTTTATTTGGTATAATTGCCCTTTAGCCTCAAGAACTGCCTCAAACATTTTGTTGCTCTGTTGACAATAAATTATCTTAATTTTCTTTTTTCAGAAATAGCCTTTTCCCCTTCTTAAAGGATATTTATCTTGACCTAATTGATCTCCCCACCTTTGCCTCTCTTTACTGAATAGAATTACTATTTTTCCCTCATATGATCTTCCTATGTGTCCACAAGAGGGCAGGTGCAGCAAGCAGAGGGGTCCCAGCCTGTAGAAAAGGGCCCTGGCCTGTAGAAAGGGGCCTTGGCCTGTAGAAAGGGGCTCTGCTGAAAAGCAGTCTGGAAATTGTTATTGCTGTTTGGATCTTTCCTTGCTTTGCTTTCCTTTGATGACTGTGTTTTTTGCATTCCACAAACATTTACTGATTACTCACTGTGGGTCAGGCACCTTCTAGCTAAGCACCACTGGGGGATGCAGAGATTGGTAAATCAATTTATTTTTTATTTTTTTTATTTTAAGACAGAGTCTCACTTTGTCGCCCAGGCTGGAGTGCAGTGATGTGATATCAGCTCACTGAAACCTCCGCCTCCAGGGTTCAGGTGATTCTCCTGCCTCAGCCTCCCGAGTGGCTGGGATTATAAGTGTGTGCCATGATACCCAGCTAAGTTTTGTATTTTTTTAGTAGAGATGGGCTTTTGCCATGTTGGCCAGGCTGGTCTTGAACTCCTTACCTCAGGTGATCACCCACCTTGGCCTCCCAAAGTGCTGGAATTATAGGTGTGAGCCACTGCACCTGGCCAAGTAAGACAACATCATGGGAAACTGCAAAAGGGCAATTATGATACAGGTGTGCTGGTGACCAGTTCTTCATGAGCGACCATATGTCACAACAGAGAAAGCACTTGGATCCACAGGAGGCTGCCATGGGAAGCAGTATGGGACACAGAACCATGAAGCAGGAAACATCACCTACAGACAAGGGGAGGTGATGGAAGGACATGGGCAGAGAAGGGTGTAGGTTTTGTGTCTGGGGGACACTGGGAATGGCTCCTGGCATTGAGACAGGTGTGTAGAGGATGTGGTGGGACCTACACAGACAAGACAGACTGGAATCTAAGGGACATTTGAATTCCAGTGTGACCAGGGTCTTTAAGAACAGGTTGGGGCCAGGTGTGGTGGCTCATGCCTGTAATCCTAGTACTTTGGGAGGCTGAGGAGGGCAAGTTGCTTAAGCCAGGGGTTTGAGATTCGCCGGGGGAAACATAGGGAGACCTCATCTCTTTAAAGATAAAAAAAAAAAAAAAAGAGGTTGGGAAGCTCCTCCGTGGTACTCTGAAGAAGCTGGAAACTGGTAGGAGTGGGAGGGAGGCCATTGAGGAAATAACCCTGGCAGGCAGGCAGCAGAGGCTTCCACAGTGTGGGAACCCGATGGATGAGGAGATTGGAAAGTGATTTGTAAACAGAATGAACACAGTTGGGTGTGAGAGCTGAGAACACGGAGTCAGAGTGAACTGGAGGCTTTTGGCCTTGGTGACCAGATAAGCCTGGGGGAGGAAAAATAATAATATTCTCGTGGGAATAGGGGACTAGCAAATAATGTGTTTGACCTGTTCATAGCCAGTGTGCTACGATGCTCTGGAGTTGCCCAGCAGGCTCTAGTGAGGGCAAACTGCTCGTGGTCATTTGAAGTCTGCTCAGAACCCCAGGCAAGTGGGGCCCTGGAGGATGTGTGGTCCACACACCTGCTCTTGCAGCCACCCATGCTCAAATCAGACCAGCTGTCAAGGAGCTTTTCTCCTTCCCCCAAGACGAAGTCTCACTCTGTCTCCCAGGCTGGAGTGCAGTGATGCAATCTTGGCTCACTGAAGCCTCTACCTCCTGGGTTCAAGTGATTCTCCTGCTCAGCCTCCTGAGTAGCTGGGATTACAGGCAACTGACACTATGCCTGGCTAATTTTTTTGTATTTTTAGTAGAGACAGGGTTCCACAGTGTTGGCCAGGCTGGTCTTGAACTCCTGACCTCAGATGATCCATACGCCTTGGCCTCCCAAAAGTGCTGGGATTACAGGCGTGAGCCACCGCACCTAGCCAGGAATTTTTCTTTATGCTGCTCTGAAGCCACCCTCAGAGAACTTCACCACTGGCCTGTGGCCATCCCATCTGAAAAGACGGAAAACCACTGGAGTCAGAAGCCCCCTTTCCCTGTTCTTGTCCCCTCCCATTGTCACACACTGCAGCTGGCCCTGGCAGCAGCGTGCCTTTTCTGCTGTTTAGCTTTATTTCTGTGACTTCCCTCTTCCTCCGTACTCCCAGATGGCCCTCTGGATTCTTGGTTATCCTTTATTTTTCTTTGTTTGGTGTACTTGATGATTGGATAAACCAGAGTTCATTTTAGCAAATGAGGTCTAACATAGAGGTCTGTGGGTAGAATGGTAGAATTAAGACAGGGAAAACATTTTTAACTGTTTGTAACTATGCTGTAGATCTATGCATTTTATGCATTAAAAAACACTGTTTAGAGAAGGGGTCCAAAACAAGGAGTGAAGCCCTGGTGCCAAGGGTGGAGACATGAAACTGTTAGACCTGCAGCTTTAGGCAGCTGCTAAAACCCACTGCTTTTCCTGTAGTCACCTTGACAGCACTGCAGCCAGGAGGGGAAGGGGCAACTTGGCTAGGTGGAGTACCTAGGGAATTCTGAGCAGAGGCGAGTGGCTGGCTTCAGACCTTGGTGGCCAGAGGAGTGATCTGGCTTGGCTTAGTCCTGTGGTGACACAGGAGGTGCTCTGGAGCTGCTGGAGGGCCTGCGGAGCACTGCAGGCTCCACACAGCAAGTTCCTAGGGAGGTTCACATCCTTTGCAAGGCTGCAGGTAGGTGGGGATACTTACTATTCTGCTTGGAACTCAGAATCCCAGCTGTGTGCGACCTGAGACAAATCAACCTCTGCTAGCCTCAGTTGCCCCACCTAGAATGTAAGGCTGACCCACCTCTGGCATAAGGGCAAGGATGGAGGCAGGCAGTGGCCCAATCTGGACTCCACATTTTCCCACCAGCCTCTTGACTCTTTCTGCTTTTCAGGAAAAAAGCCTGTAAATACTTTGAGCAAGGCAAGGGGACCTGCCCATTTGGAAGCAAATGCCTTTATCGACATGCTTACCCTGATGGGCGGCTAGCAGAGCCTGAGAAACCTCGGAAACAGCTCAGTTCTCAAGGCACTGTGAGGGTAAGAACTTTGCTGTCTCTAGTTGGGGACACTTCGCAGCTGTGGGCATTTCTAGGTACTTGTTCTTGGCAGACAGATGGGGGGGTAGGCAAAAGAAAGATTAAGCAGTGCAGCCTTCCTGTTGCTCTTAGTAGTAACCAGGCCACTGGCTGTTTTTGCAGTTCTTTAATTCAGTGCGGCTCTGGGATTTCATTGAGAACCGAGAAAGCCAGCATGTCCCCAACAATGAAGATGTCGACATGACAGAGCTTGGGGACCTCTTCATGCACCTTTCTGGAGTGGAGTCATCAGAACCCTAAAGAGTAGATGGTCACCCTGCATCTTGGGCTCCATCGACCAAAACTTTCCCAAGCCAGGGTGTGCAGAGCTTTCCTGTACTGCAGCCAAGGGGGCGTGTGGCTTGGATTTGAGTGGAATTGTGCTTAGCCTTGGTCTCATCTACTCTCCATTATTACAGCCATGGGTAAGAGTGAAGGATATAAAGTAACCTACTAAGTGTATGGAATTGCTGTTTTATAGCTGATATAGTTACACCTCAAGTCCCTCAGGGGTAACAACTAACCACTCAGACTGTTTGGACTGACTGCTTTAAAACACAAACCTGGCTTTTATCATTGCTCTTTTCTCCCCAGAAACAGTAAATTTGCAGCTGCCCCTAATGTGGCAGAGTTGTTTTTCTTACCGAAGGATTCAACCCTATAAAAGGATTCCTCTGTAGTGTATTTCTCTAGTATATCTAATGTATGGTCAAAATTTTGACAGAGCTTTCAAGAACAGTAAAACAGTGAGCCCGGCATAGCTGTTAACATACAACTTTTTTTAGGGCTTTAAGGATGGTCATTTTTTTGAGTTCTCTCAAGTAACCCAAATCAGGGTAGCAATCTTGTTGCCAGATGTGCAGCAAAGTGGAAGTGTAAATCTTTTTCTCTTTTAGGGAGGCTCTTGAAGGAGCAGGAGGTACTGTACTGAGTAGCAGTCTAGCCCTCCTGTCTGGTTGCAGCCTCCAGCCAGAGCCCTCCAGGGAAACAAAGCCTCTGCCCTCACCTGTGGGGCACACACATGCACTTACATAATGTGTGGTTCCTACTCAAGCAATTTATTATCTGCAAAGCCTAGCTTTGATTTGAAACTTCGTAAAAATTTCATGGCGCCCCAAGGTTTGTTTCTGATTCTGACCCAGCAGTGCTCCTGAAGAGAGCTGATGGCAAGTCTTGTAGTCATTTTTAGTTGAAGGGTTCGCACAACCTTGTGAACCACAAAGGTTGTTCTTTTTATGTGTTTTTAAAAAGCTGTACATACCAAATAGTTTATAAAACACATTACTTAACATCTTAACTGAGTTTAGCATACTTTCTGCTTAACTTTTATACTATTCAGTGGAGGGTTACAAAGAGTACAAAAATTCAGTCCCAGTGTAGGGAATTACTTTAAAAGGAGCCAGCCATTACAACTAAATTTAATTTATTTTATTAAAATAACATAATGCGGGACCATCAGATACCTGTATTTTGTCAGGTGCAATAAAAACAAAATTAAAACCCAAATCATCAAGAAAACCTGTATTCCTGGCTTCCTTGTATACACATGATACAACTAGAGAAACAAGGCTGTGTTATTAGAGAAACAAGGCTGGCCCTGCGGCCCCGCCCCATAGGGGCAGGGCAGCTCCTGGAAGACAAAATTCAGCATGATGGAAGACTGCTACCTGAGAGGGCCGAGATGGGGACCGGCTGAGTGCCTTGCCTGGAAAACCATCCCAATGCACTGGACACCTTAGAAGCTGTGAAGGGAGGCCGTGTCCCCTAAGAAAAGTTCCATAGTACCAAAGCAGGCTCTTTCGGGAGGCCAGAGTCTCAACAGTCCTGGGCTGTTTGTTTGGTGCCTTATGTGCAAAATGTCTGGTGCTGCACCACTCTCTGAAGAAAGTCCCGCCTGTCATATGCATTCCTCTAAAAGTTGATTTCCAAAATCCCATGTGTTTCCACATCAGGCTGCACTGCCTGCTACCTTACTTCCTCAAAATACATAGCCAACAGCTGGGCCCCTGCCTTTTGGATTACCATCAACATCCACTTGCACATCTAGAGAAGGCCTTGAGCATGGGGTACATGGGGAAGGAGCAGGATGCACCAGCATTGCAAATGGCTTCCTTCTCCCAGGGCCCAAAGGAGTAGAAAAGAAGGCAACATGAAGTTAAGGCCCTGTGAGCAGTCTAGAAGATCCTTAGCAGCAGCTTCTCTGAAAACATGTGCTCTGCCTCTGGAGAAAGGGAGCAGAAAAGTGGTGCCTGCTGGCTTCTCTTCCTCCCCTGGCAGCCTGAGGGCAGGTGTAAAGTCAACTAGAAGACAGGCAGCCTTGGGGACGTGGTCAGCGTGCAAGCATTGATATCCTCAGTGTGGGCTGCCCGATGCAAGGATGGCTCGGAAGCGCTCCGGTTGATCTTCGGTAGAGAGTGCTGGAGCAGCTCAATGGAAGACAGGATCTGAAAGCCCCAGAATGCTCTCATTAGTTGGGGCTTGGGGGTCCAAAGACACTGGCCGTACCCTGCCCCCACCATTTTGTGGAGGACCTGGTTCCCCTCCCTATAAAAACAAAATACTCCCCTTATATTGCCATCTTTAAGAACCAACCCATGCTTTAATCCCGTTCTATCATCCCTGAGCCTTACCTGGGGAAAAAGAGGCCTCTCTTCCTTTACTTTCTTGACACAGTCAGCTACCAGCCTCTTCATTGCTTTGGGGCAGTTTTTATATAGCTTACTAAGATCTGGGGAGGCATACCCTCGGCCCACCATGAAGATGATCTAAGGGAAAAACAGCTGAGTGAATGAGGGGTGGATGATCAAAAGAAAACAACAAGTCCTAACCCTCTAGCTATTCAGGCTGGCAGGAGGCCTAGGAGCTCCCACAAGTCAGGTCCTTTAGCACCAGCACAGACTCACCTGATCTCGGTTGTTAATGTGAGAGTAAGGAAGCTCCCCTGTCATCAGCTCATATAATACGATGCCATAGGAGTAGACATCTGACTGGAAGCTGAAGGGGTTGTTATCCTGCATTCGGATCACCTCTGGAGCCTACAGGGAAAAGGTGTATTTATCACCATATGACAGGCTTCCCTTTCATTAGTTATGAATGAGTCCATTCTTCAGTCCCCACATAGGTTTTCCCCAAAGGTCTCCAACTCAGGCACTGGTTAAAACAGCTCAGGAATCCTTGTCTTTAAAGGACCAAGACCCAGCATTTCTATCCCAGCTTAACTCCTCTCCACACTAAGCTTCACGGTGGTTTTGATCAACAGCTTCCTCAAGAAAATCTACAATTGCCCTGAGCCTGGCTGTCACCAGGGGTCATGAGGATTTCAGGAAAGTGTACAGAAATGCTTTATGTTTGCACATAAGGCTTCAGGGTATTCCTTTTGCCCTGCACCAAAAACTGTTATTGGGAGCCCAGATTCTCACCATCCACAGAACAGAGCCAGTAGGTTGTTCAACCTGCTGAGAACCACTCCAGCGTGACTTTACTGTTGCCAAACCAAAATCTCCAATTTTCACTGTTAGGCCTTCATGGAGAAATATATCTCAATGCTTGTTAAGGACTCTGGTTTCAAAAGAATGGTCAAATTAATTTTGAAAACCATCCCAAAGTTCTTTATAACATGGCAATCTCTCCACCTTGTGTGTCTGTTGCAGGCTCTCTGCACTGAATTTCCTAAGGTATATGAAGTTCTTAAAAGTGCTTTTGAAATGCCCCTTCTTCTAGCCGGCAGGCAGGGATTATTCAATGTGCCAGATTATTTGGCCCCAGCCAAAAACAAGTCAGTTTTTTTCCCTGCTGCTTTTCCCCATTTCCACTCTAGGTGCTGGGTCCCTGGCTTTGTGATCTTTCCACATAATACATGTGCGTGAAACTCTAACATGACAAGCGGAGGCCACATTCCCCAAAGTACTCCCCAGAGGGCCAACTATGGCCTGCTGACAGCTTACAGTGGTTTCTGCTTCTGTTCTGCCCTCAAATCACCATCTGAACCTTGACTGGTTAACAAAATAATAAATCCTTTATTGAAGTGTTCAATGTTGTCCTAAGAAATTTCTCATCAGAATTAGTACCACTTGGGTAACTTGAAAATGAAAACCAAAATCAGCTTGCTTCTGGTCATACAGTTTAAGTCTAACTTGTGAGAGAGAAAAAAAAACTGAAAACAAAAAAATTTAAAAAACACACATGAAGCAACTTGTGAGCTGTTGGTGCCCAGGAACTCACACCTCCTTAAATCTGGTGTCTGCTTTCATGGTATGTTTGGCTGCTAAAAACCCCACCACTGAAAGGTGTTCCATGCCTCACACGGGTACCTCAAATAGGGCATGTCCTATAATCCAGCTCAACCCAATTATCATGCTTCTCACTGCTCAAGAAGCAAAGTGTGGGCTGTAATGCCATCCTTCCATCCCAAGGAGAGGCTGGTGGAGGGTGGCACATTCAAAACTGTTAAATTTCATGCCTTACAGCATTAAAAATACCTTTCTTCATTTACTCTTCTGTAGAAACAAGACTTAGAAGGGGAGAAGGATTGTTTCCAACAGTGACTTCTGAGGAACCCACTTAATGTACCTTTGAGAAAGACCATTTAATTTATTTATTTGAGACAGAGCCTTGTACTGTTCCCTAGGCTAGAGTGCAACCTCTGCCTCCCAGGTTCAAGTGATTCTCCTGCCTCAGCCTCCTGAGTAGCTGGGATTTCAGGCATGTGCCACCACACCCAGCTAATTTTTAAATATAGAGATGGGTTTCGTCACATTGGCCAGGCTGGTCTCAAACTCCTAGCCTCAAGCGATCCACCTGCCTTGGCCTCCCAAAGTGCTGGGATTATAGGTATAAGCTACCATGCCCAGTCAAGAAAGACCATTTTAAATAGTGATTTTCGGAAAGCTTTCAACCTTTGGCTTATAGCTTACTTGCTATCCACCTAACAAGCAGATACACATATATTCATTGTCCACAAACCAGAAATAAACCTAAGACAAAAGCACATCCCCCTCAGGTTAAATTTAGTAATAGTGTGATAAATTAGGCCTATTTCAAGCTTACAAAAATCTCTCCAAATCACTTTTGCTGAGATAGAAAGGAACCCAATCTAAACTTCACTCTCATCAGTCCTGGTGAGGCATATGTTGCTGAGGAGCAAGCCAAGCCTACTAATTTTCTGACTTTTGTGTCTTCTTGTCCTCTGCCTCTTTTCTTAAAATGTTATCTCCTGGCACCAAGAGTCACTTGTGATAAAAAGGCTCTATTCTGTTTCCCTAAATTTAGAACTGAGCAGTCAAATGGAACTCAACAACCAAAGGATACTGTTGGATTTCATGTCTCTGTGGATGATGTTCTTTGCATGCAAATAGCTGTGAAGGGAAAATAAATTATTAAAAATAAATTGAGGGGCATGGGTAGAAAGCAGTTTTAAACTACAGCTAATAAGTAAAATCCACTGAAGGCCCAGCTCCCAGGAGTGTTATACACAGGGATGGACCCTGTGCTTTCAGCCTGGTTCACATCACTGCTTACCTGAAGGTGAGGCCACAGCACAAACATGCTTACACCTTTTTTTTTTTTTTTTTTTGAGACTGGAGTGCAGTGGTAGTCATAGCTCACTGCAGCCTTAACTTCCTAGGCTCAAGTGATCCTCCCACTGCAGCCTCCCAGGTAGCTGGAACCACAGGCATATGCTACCATGCTGCCCACCTGCCCCCCTTTTTTTGTAGATACTGGGTCTTGCAGGGTTGCCCCAAGCTGGTCTTGAAATCCTGGGCTCAAGTGATCCTCTCTCATATTGGCCTCCCAAAATGCTTGGATTACAGGCATGGGCCACTGTGCCCGGCCACCGCTGACACTTCTTCAAGCATCAATTTTACTCAAAAGTAATTCTGATAACCCAATGTCCATAAGTGATGAATGAATAATGTGGCAGATCCATACAATAGAATTTTACTCAGACACAGAAAGGAATGAAGTAGTGACACCTGCTACAACCTGGATTAACCTTGAAAATATTATGCTAGGTGAAAGAGCCGGCATACAGTACCACATCTTCTATATTATATGCAGTCAAGCATCACTGAACGGCAGGTATACCTTCTGAGAAATGTGTTGTTAGCCAACTTATCATGCAAATATCATAAAGTGTATTTACACAAACCAAGATGGTGCAGTCTACTGCACACCCTGGCTAAATGGTAGCCTGTTGCACTTAGGCTACAAACCTGTATGGCCCTCAGTGTACTGAATACTAGAGGCAGTTGTAACATAGTGAGTATCTGTGTCTCTAAACGTAGCCAAACAGAAAAGGCACAGTAAAAATACAGTATTATAATCTTGTGGGACCACCTTCCTATATGTGGTCTGTCATTGACCAAAACATCATTATATGGTACTTGACTATATTACATCTTACATGATTCCATTTATATTAAACTACAAACTAGGCACAATCCATAGAAACAGAAAGTAGACTGTACGTGGGTGGGAGGTATTGGGTGAATGCTAATGGTAATATCGTTTGGATATTTGTCCACTCCAAATCTCATGTTGAAACGTGATCCCCAGTGTTGGAGGTGGGACCTATGTGTCAGGTGTTTGGGCCATGGGGGCAGATTCCTCATGAATGGCTTGGTGCCTCCCTGCAGTGATGAGTAAGTTTACGTGCTATTAGTTCACATGAAATCTGGTTAGAGTCTGGGACCTCCCTCCATGCTTTCTTGCTCCTTTCTCTTACCACATCACATGTGGCTCCCCTTGCCTTTTGCCATGAGTAAAAGCTTCCCGAGGGCCTCACCAGAAGATATTGGTGTCATGCTTTTTGTACACTCTGCAGAACCAAGAGCCAAAATACACCTCTTTTCTTTATAAATTATCCAGTCTCAGGTCTTCCTTTAGAAAAACCCAAACAGACTTATACACCATACATTTGTTTCTTTCTAGGATGATGAAAATGTTCTAAAATTAGATGATGGTGATGGCTGCACAACTCAATACTAGAAAACCACTAAGGTGTACATTTTAAAAGGGTGAATTTTATGATATATGAATTATATCTCATTTTTTTCTGAAAAGTAATTCTATTTATTAAAATATACAGAATGTAACTTCCATACGATTTTAAAGACAATATGAGAATTTGTGTAGCACTTGCAAGCACAGCTCTAGCTCAGTAGCTCCCAAATGTCTAGAGGAATGAGGAATTCCTCCTCCTCTATCATAAGGGACACTTCAGAGGGAAAGCTGGAGAAGTACTACCCTGGGTTAGCCAGGAAAGGCGGGAGGATCACTTGAGGCCAGTTTGAGACCAGCCTGGGCAACACAGTGAGACCCCCGACTCTACAAAATATACAAAAATTAGCTGGGCATAGTAGAGCGTGTGCCTGCAGTCCCAGCAACCTAGCAGACTGAGGCAAGAGGATCACAGGAGTTCAAGGATACAGTGAGAGCTATGATTGCACCACTGCACTCCAGCATAGGCGACAAATGAGACCCTAAGGGAAAAAGTTTTTAATTAAATTATCCTGAAAAATGACATCTGCTTAAACCTTCACGTAGCACAGCCACACCTCAGACAGCTGAGCAGAAGGTACATGCCCCCACTATGTTCTCAGGTTTTTGGATAAAGTGAGGGTAGCAGGAAGAGCCTGAGTCTGAGTGCCAAGGGGGAAGCTTTGCTTGGGTAAGGAATTTGAACTTTTTTTTTTTTTTTTTTTTTTGAGACAGAGTCTTACTCTGCAGCCCAGGCTGAAGTGCAGTAGCATGATCTCAGCTCACTGCAACCTCTGCCTCCCAGATTTCAAGCGATTCTCCTGCCTCAGTCTCCTTAGTAGCTGGGATTACAGGCACGTGCCACCACACCTGGTTGATTTTTGTTATTTTTAGTAGAGAAAGAATTTTGCCATGTTGGCAAGGATGGTCTTGAACTCTTGGCCCCAAGTGATCCATTGTCCTTGACCTCCCGAAGTGTTGGGAATACAGGCATGAGCCACTCCACCCAGCTAGAACCTGAACAACACATTCCTGATAACTGACCTCTCCAGCCCAGGCTTGTACAAAGATAATCACAGAATCACTTAATGGACTAGAAGGCTTTTCCTGATCTTAGTTCCAATTTACAGACAGGTTTGATGCCTGGGTCCCAGAGAGGCATCAGGCCATCTACTCACTCCATTCCCTGAGCCGTCTGCCGGGCAATGTCAATTAGCTGGAACATCTGAAACTTGGTCTCCTGGACATGCAGGTGTTTGTAGAGGCTGCTGCCCTCACACCACTGGGTCACAATTGCCAGGTTGTCTTTTGTCATGTACCCCATGAAAAGCAGAATGTTCACATGCCGTGTTTTGCTGAGGAGAGGAAGACAAGAAAGGGAGGAGGAAAGTGCTCAGGGAGGTCTACTGTGCCTTCCCGTGGGTTCTATGCTCTTGACACTACTCCCAGTCCCAACCTGGAGGGGGCTAGAAAAACAAACACATGAAACAGCTGATAACCTGGGTGGCATTCTGAGCAAACAGAGGAGCCCGACATTAGTTCACTTGCTTACAGAGAAGACATTCTCTTTCGTCACTGTAAACTCATGACCCTCCTTGTGGAGGTTGCAAGGACTCCTCTGTAGAAGTCTCCATTATATGACGTATTTCTAAGTCTAAATAGTAACTGAAAGATTTGAAAACTTACTATTCTGAAGTCTAAAATAAGGCAGCTCAGCTATAAAGAGGGTTCTGGGAAATAAAGATAAAAATGGGGCCTATTTCTCCTGCCCACCTCAAACCAAAACCCAGAGATAGAACCTGGGCTATTACATTTACTGTGCCTAGAGGAAGGTATTCTCCTGAAAAGGGGCTCTTCCAACGGCCTGACAACCACATAAACTAAAGGAAACATCCCTTTGCTCTCAAAGGAGGAGTATCCAACCACAGGAACTCCACTGAGTCTTAACTGCCTGCCAGTCCCAGCCCATGGCACAGCCCACTGACTCTGCAGTCCTTGTACTCCCCACTCCAGACAGACTGGACTGCCAGCTTTTACTCACCGCAAAACAGCCACCTCATTCCTGAAGGCCTGGAACTGCTCTGGGGTTGGGTCTACAACCTTTAGGATCTTTACTGCAACATCTCCTGCAAAATTAGTTGGCAGACAGTGCAATCAGTTGAATGATCTTACTCTTTCAAATAACCAAGTTTTCAGGAAGATACAGTGACTCACTTATCCAAAGAATCATATACCTACACAGATACAACAAATCTCAAAATTTCTCTTTTTTTTTTTTTAAGATACAGTCTCACTCTATTGTCTAGGCTAAAGTGCAGTGGCACACTACAGCCTCGACCCCCTGGGCTTAAGCAATCCTCCCACCTTGGCCTCCTAAAGTGCTGAGATTATAGGTCCCAATTTCTGTATTAATTCAAATAACTGAAAAAAGTTACATGGATAAATGCTACCCCTACAGTTACACCTTCAATAGGCTTGGTTAAACTATTCATACCAACCCTGGCAAGCTACAGAGGAGAGATCATATGTGACAGGTCAAAACCTGGTCCTGTGGGGATGAAATCAGTACATGGATATGAATGGCCTGGCAAATACAGAATGACTGGGGCTGGATGCTGGTGTAAGGAAGCAGACCATTTAGCAACTATTGAGGCTGATCTCTGAATTCACATTTCAGTCAGAACTAATACGGTCCCTAGTAAAAATTCAGAGAGATACCCTGAAATTAAGCTTCTCTGCCTTCAATATCATTAAAAAATAATCCTAATAATACTGAATCCTGGCATCGTGTATACTTTTATCCCTCTTGATCCTCACATGTGCCCTATGACGTAAATAATTTTATCTTTACTTCACAGACAAGCAGAGAAGTTTAGTCATTTGACCAGGGTCAGACTGCCAAAAAAAAAAAAAACAAAGTGCTGGAGCCAGGACTGGATCTGACTCCAATTGATATTCTACCTATAGTACTCACAACTGATTGTCAAGCACTGTGAGTAAAACCAGCCTCTTGATATAACTTTAGACACATCCAGGGATCAGTTCCACTTTAGAGTGCTACAAATTTAAAAGCCACTTTCAAAAGTGTTTCTGGAGCCTCTGTTTGAACATTCCTCCTTTCTTCCTTTTTTTTTGAGATAGAGTCTCGCTCTGTCGCCCAGGCTAGAGCGCAGTGGCACAATCTCAGCTCACTGCAACCTGCCTCAGTCTCCCGAGTAGCTGGAATTATAGGCGTGTTCCACCACGCCCAGCTAATTTTTGTATTTTTTGGTGGAGAACTTGAGGTCAGGAGTTTGAGACCACCATGTTGCCCAGGCTGGTCTCAAACTCCTGACCTCAAGTTCTCTGCCCGCCTCGGCTTCCCAGAGTGCTCAGCACACCCAGCCCTCCTCATTTCATTTTTGGGAAGAAAACTTGTAGAGAGATGGTTCTCACAGTAAGTTTCAAAATGTCTCCCTGCGGTCTCTGGTTTTATCATCTGAAGTTTCAGTGATGGGTCCCTGTGTTTTAACAGCAGCCTCCAAAGTGGCGCTCACCCAGTTAACCCTTACATGTGACAAAGGCTGGCCAAACCTCCTAAAGGTCTCGTACAACCTCAGATCCCATTTAACCCAAATGATCCTCAGTCTTTATGGGACCCTAAAAACACCCTCTACCTCTACCTCTCACTCAAGAAGCCATAAGATCTCCTTGAGTTCGTGCAACAGGCCAGGTGAGTGGTCCACTTTGCACCTGATGTTGCTGCTTCCCTAGATATCTGTACCACCCTCACCGCCCTCACCCTCTGTGCAAATGCCACTGTCTTCGCAGACTCCTTTCTGACCAATCTACTATTTGGAACTGGGACTGCCACTCCATATCTCCTTTCCTCCATTTTTCTCCGTAGCAATTACAGCACACTATATATTCTACTTTTCTTGTTTACTGCCCCCACTAGAATATAAACTCCTTAAGATTTTTTTTTTTGGAGACAGGGTCTTGCTCTGTTACCCAGGCTGGAGTGCAGTGGTGTGATCATGGCTCACTGCAGCCTCAATCTCCCTGGCTCAAGTGATCCTCCTGCCTCAGCTGGCACAACAGACACACAGTACCACATTCAGCTAATTTAAAGAGACAGGGTCTCACTATGTTGTTCAGGCTGGTCTCAAACTCCTGGGCTAAGGTAATCCTCCCACCTCAGCCTCCCAAAGTGCGAGGATTACAGGTGTGAGCCCCCACCCCTGGCCAAGAAAAAAAAAAAAAAATTTTTTTTTTTTTTTTGAGACAGTCTCACTCTATTGTCCAAGCCGGAGTGCAGTCGCACAATCTTGGCTCACTGCAACTTCCACTTCCCAGGCTCAAGCAATTCTCATGGTTCAGACTCTTGAGTAGCTGGCATTACAGGTGTAAATCACCATACTTCACTAATTTTTATATTATTAGTAGAGACAGGGTCTTGCCACTTTGGCCAGGCTAGTCTCAACTCCTAGCCTCAAATGATCTGCCTGCCTTGGCCTCCCAAAGTGCTGGGATTACAGGAGTGAGCCACCATGCCCAGCCAAAGAGACACAATTTTTATATTTTGTTCACTGCTTAATTTCCTAGTCCCTGGAAGCGCCTGGTGTTCAAAGAATGATCAGGAAACACTGGATGAAGAAATGAATGGATTCTAACGTAAAACTGTCAGGCAAATTATGAATTGACAAGCTATTTGACACTCTGGAGTACAAGAGAAGACTTGGCCTCTGACAGGAAATACTGGCAACTTAGTTGCCTGTAGAAGTCAAGAAACATTTTATGGCAGAGCAATTCAGAACCCAATGTCCAGCCTGACATCCCCAGGCCTTGCCTCATCCCAGGTCTATGGAATTAGGGATGGACCCAAAGCAAAGGCAGCTCATCAACCTGGCCCCGGCAGTCCTTGGGCATTTCCAAGTTCACTTTTCCAGCACTCCATGCAATAGGTGTCCAATGCTGCTTACCACTCTTTCTCTCCTTTCAAACCCATTTCTCAGATAAGTACAAAACTGTGTAGTAATACTTTATCTTTTCCTTCGGCAATTATCCAAACACTCTTTTTTTTTTGAGACGGAGTTTTGCTCTTGTTACCCAGGCTGGAGTGCAATGGCTCGATCTCGGCTCACCGCAACCTCCGCCTCCTGGGTTCAGGCAATTCTCCTGCCTCAGCCTCCTGAGTAGCTGGGATTACAGGCACACGCCACCATGCCCAGCTAATTTTTTGTATTTTTAGTAGAGACAGGGTTTCGCCCTGTTGACCAGGATGGTCTCGATCTCTTGACCTTGTGATCCACCCACCTCGGCCTCCCAAAGTGCTGGGATTACAGGCTTGAGCCACTGCGCCCAGCCCCCAAATACTCTTGTAGCTAGCAATCCTTCAGCATACTTATGAATCCTTCATACTTATAAACCTTGGCAAGTAATATAAATCACCAAATGGCTAGGTAACTTTTTATGGAGGTTAGTTTATGAAGTCATTATTATACATCAAGCCAGAATTTCTTATTTTCCCTTAATAGCAAAGTCAGAGGCAAATGTAATTTGAAATGTTTTTACCTTTTAAACACAAAGTCATTTTCCTGCTTTAACCATTTGAGATTGTCTAAACTTACTATATACATCTCTGCTTTCTGAAACAGAACAGAATTAACACCATTCCTTCTCACTTTGTTGACATGTCACTGTTAAAAACCAGTCACTGCCCTCAGCTGAGATGACGCTCTCCAGATGTGGGTTATACTAAGCTGCTTGTCCTAGTAAGTAGCCAAAAGCTGTTCCTATCACGTTTGTGAATCTGTTCAAGGGGTTTTCTGCCTTGTGCTTTCAGTGATTATTCCTGCTGCCATCATTCAATAGCCTCTGATGCTGGCTTTATCCATTTAATGTCCTATTTGTAATTAGCAAAGGCTGGTGAATCTCATGACAAATTTGTTAATTTTTATTTTTTTGAGACAGAGTCTTGCTCTGTTGCCCAGGCTGGAGTGCAGTGGTGTGATATTGGCTCACTGCAGCCTCCACCTCCCAGGTTCAAGTGATTCTCCTGCTTCAGCCTCCCAAATAGCTGGGATTACAGACACCCACTACCACGCCCAGCTAATTTTTGTATTTTTAGTAGAAATGGAGTTTCACCATGTTGGCGAGGCTGTTCTTTAACTCCTGACCTCAAGTGATCTGCCTGCCTCAGCCTTCCAAAGTGCTAGGATTACAGCTGCGCCCAGCCTTGGTGCCAAATTTAATGCTAAAAAGGAGGTCGTGAGCTTTGGGCCTGAGAGGCTCTGCTTTAAATAAATAAATATGTGAGTTTTAGTTCATGCATCTGAGGCCTCTGAATTGCTTTGAAACCCTTTCTGCTTTATTTTCACAGTGGATGGGCTGAGTTAAAAAAATTCAATCAAAATTATGAAAACAATTGTAATTATTTTTTTGAGATGGAGTTTCACTATTGTTGCCCAATGGCGCAATCTCAGCTCACTGCAACCTCTGCCTCCTGGGTTCAAGCAATTCTCCTGCCTCAGCCTCCTGAGTAGCTGGAATTACAACCAAGCACCACCATGCCCAACTAATATTTTGTTTTTTTAAATAGAGATGGGTTTTCTCCATGTTGGTCAGGCTGGTTTCCAACTCCCGGCCTCAGGTGATCCATCTGCCTGGGCCTCCCAAAGTGCTAGGATTACAAGCACTTAAAAATTACAGTTGTAGGCTGGGTGCGGTGGCTCACGCCTATAATCCTAGCACTTTGGGAGGCTGAGGCGGGTGGATCACGAGGTCAAGAGATCGAGACCATCCTGGTCAACAAGGTGAAACCCCATCTCTACTAAAAATACAAAAATTAGCTGGGCATGGTGGTGCGCACCTGTAGTCCCAGCTACCCGGGAGGCTGAGACAGGAGAATTGCTTGAACCTAGAAGGCGGAGGTTGCGGTGAGCCGAGATCATGCCATTGCACTCCAGTCTGGGTAACAATAGCAAAACTCCGTCTCAAAAAAAAAAAAAATTACAGTTGTAATTTTTAAGGAGTGAATAGGACATTACATTGTATATAGGAACCAGAATGGGGGGGATATTGCACAAAACAATCTAGAAATTAGGTTTCCTTGACCACTCATCTTTCTTCTTCATAGACCAGGGCTTGCTTTCTGAAAGGATGGCATACAAGTCCACTGCTCCGACCTCCTCTGACTTTTGAGACTCTCTTTTCTGAGTTAAAAAAAAAACTAGAATCTTAAAAACATTAGACAAGTTATCTACATTCTAATAGCAGTCTATGGAATAACACTGTAACAATCTTATCATAGTTTGAAAGCTCACACTATTGAGAGAAGACAAAGCTCATAAGCAGTACCCTGCACTAATGCCTTGAAAAATTAAGAATCACATAAAAGTGCTCAACCAGAGGAAAATTAAACTTGGGTACAACTTAAACTTCATCTATTGGCTTTTAGCTGGGGCTTTAAAAATGTGGTATAAAAATGATCAAATGCTAACAGAAGCAATAAATGGAATATCCATTGCTCTGCCTCCTATAATTACTAGCAGCCTTGTTATCTCATATACAAGTACTCTATCCCACAAAATGCTTGTGTTCTTTCCTAAGGAATCCTGGAGATATTTATGCCATCTAAATATTCTGCAGCTGGCTGGGCACGGTGGCTTACACCTGTAATCCCAGTACTCTGGGAGGCCAAGGCACGCAGATTGCTTGAGCAAATGAGTTCGAGACCAGCTGAGCAACAAGGAAAAACCCCATCTTTGCAAAAAATAAAAAATTAGCTGGGCGTGGTGGCATGTGCCTGTAGTCCTAGCTACTTGGGAGGCTGAGGCAGGAGGATGGATGGAGGCATCCAGAAGGATGACTTAAGCCCAGGAGGCAGAGACTGAAGTAAGCCAAGATTGTGCCACTATACTCCAGTCTGGGCAATAAAGCCAGATCTTGTCTCTAAATACATATAAATAAATATTCTACAACAATGTCATTTCTCTGGGACCCAGGAGGCAGCACAATAGTACATATTAGATGCAATTTTCTTTTTCTTTTTTTTTTTCTGAGACACTGTCTTGCCGTTTCACCCAGGCTGGAGTACAGTAGTATATACTCGCCGTACTCAGCTCACTGCAACCTTGTCTCCTGAGCTCAAGCAGTCTTTCTGCCTCAGCCTCCCAAGTAGCTGGGACTAGAGGCAAGTGCCCTCCCATCCATCTTTTGGTAGAGATGGGGTTTGATGATGATGTTCAGGCTGTTCTCGAACTCCTATGATCAAGTGATCTGCCTGCTACAGCCTCCCAAAGTGCTGGGATTACAGGCCATGAGCCACCCTGCCCAACCAGATGCAATTTTCAAAGGAACAGGAATCATTCTACATGTACTTCACAAATGTTCAGTTAGGTGCCAATCCTCTTAACCAGAAATTGGTCAGATGATTAATTACAAGTGGTGAAAACACATGCATTAATGAGCCCATGGTAAGGCCAGGCACAGTGGCTCATGCCTGTAATCCCAGCATTTTGGAAGACCCAAGAGGACTGCTTGAGTCCAGGAACTGGAGACCAGCCTGGGCAATATAGTAAAACCTTGTCTCCACAAAAAAAAAAAAAAAAAAAAAAAAAAAAAAAAAAAAAATTAGCTGGGCATTCACCTGTGATCCCAGCTACTTGGGAGGCTTAGAAAGGAGGATTGTTTGAGCCCAAGAGTTGGAGGCTGCAGTGAGCTGTGACTGTGCCACTGTACTCTAGCCTGGGCAACACAGCAAGAACTTATTTTAAAAAAACAAAACAAAACACACCAGGTACTCAAAACTGGAAGCTTTTATATCTCTCCTCCCCCCAAACAGACAGAGTCACTCTGCCACCTAGGCTGGAGGGCAGTGGTGGGAATCTCAGCTCACTGTAACCTCTGCTGCCCAGATTCAAGCAATTCTCCTGCCTCAGCCTCTCGAGTAGCTGGGATTACAGGCACCTGCCACCATGCCAGCTAATTTTTGTAGTTTTAGTAGAGATGGGGTTTCACCATCTTGGCCAGGCTGGTCTTGAACTCCTGACCTCATGATCCACCCACCTCGGCCTCCCAAAGTACTGGGAATACAGGTTTGAGCCACCATACCTGGCCATGTTTGCTATTTTCAGTACCTTGAATTTTAATACTCTATTCATTTGACGCTTATAACTTCTCTCAAACTTTGCACATTTTCTCTAAAGATAATTACAGTGTCATCCAAAGTAGGAATACAGGCACCAAGGGACTCTGGGATTTTTGCTTTATGTAATCTGAATTTAGAAGAAATCACTTTTTGGGAACATGCAGCACTTTCTGGAAAATACGTATTATTTGCTAAAGTCCTAAAGCCAGAAGTATTAAAAACCTACCAGAGAAATGCTAAGTATGTTCTCAAAATGTTGAGTGTTTGCCAAAATATACAAGTTGTAACTACAGAAGTTAAATAGGACCTTTCTTCCAAGTGACAGTGTTTCCATTAAATTAAGAACACTAATATTCCACACGGATTCAAGAATTAAGTCTATGCCTTCCTGTTTGATAGGGATACCCACAACTAATCCTAGGACAGGACAAAGAGAAGTTATTTCAGGAGATTTCCAGCTTTCTTATGCCTAACTGCATGAGCATGGGCAAATCAGCCCCCATTTCAGTATGTAAGGTCCTTTCGAGCTTGAAGTTTCTAGCACCCATGTTCCCGCCATAACAGCAGACTCCTGCTCACTTAAGGAGCTTCCAAGCATAACCCATGTGCAGACTGTATTTAATCAGAAGCACTCCTGACATTTGATTATAGGGCTCAAGTCTTATTCACTAATTTCTAATTATCCTGGGAGCTTTATAAGAACTTAGTTTAAAAACATTTAAGTTCAATCTTCAGGTATAACCAAGTATCTAAGGGAGAATACGGCTGTAAACCCTGAAGCAGAGTCTTCTCCTCCTCCTGGTCCCCTGGACTGAAACTTGAGTTCACACCAAAGCCCTGCAGTAAGTAAAGGCAGGGCCCCAAGCTTACCGTGCCATTTGCCCTTATAAACAGTTCCAAAAGAGCCTGACCCAATCCGAGTGGAGAGCATCACTTCACTGGCTTCTATTTCCCAGTAATAGCTTGAATCTCTCTGTCCACGAGGCCTCTGAAATAATTAGAGATCATTATTATACTCCATGGAATGGTAATAATCTTTTGAAAATGAAGGCATCAAAGAAAGGATCAACTCATGTCATGTTTCCATATCTTTTAAAGATAAACATATTAACTATACTTCCAATTTTTGTCTTTTGAGAAATACCATTTTAGTTGTAGTACTGGCAAGTTGTCTGATCCAAGTGTGCCGAAAATGACAGTGACATTTATAATCTCCTTCCTAAAATGTATTTTATTAGAATCTTCTCCCAAAATAAGCTAGAAGTATTCTGGTTTCCAACAAGGTTTTTCTTACTGAACTCTAATTAGCAGGAGGTACTGTTGTCTATACTCACAATTTTGTTTTTCTCCTGGGTTCCAGATCCTGGTGCCCGCTCCCTTTGTGCTGGCATGGGGGCTTTGGGCTGTGACCAGCCTGTTGGGCTCAGATTGTTGGGGCTACTGGACAGGGCTGAAGGTGAGGCTTAACAGACAAGACAAACAGAATCCACACAAGGATAAGCCAACAGAAGATACACCGTATAAAGAAAAAAAGCCCATCACCGTTGGATAAATTACTATAGAAAAGTACCTGATTCGCTGTGACTTCGAATTGCATCCTGCAACAGAAAAGGAGAGCTGGTCAACTCCTACACAAAGAAGATTTTCTCTGGGGGAGGGAAAAGAGAGGAGGAGGATGTGCAAGAACAAAATAGATTATAAAACCTCTAAAAACCATAAAAATCCTATACATACTCTAATCAATGTTCCTTGATTAAATTCAGCAAATATCAGTGGCTAGTATCTCCAAGGCTGGTTTTTCATCAAATATTAGAAGAATTCATATTAATTTTTTTTTTTTGAGATGGAGTCTTGTTCTGTCACCCAGGCTGGAGTGCAGTGGCACGACATCAGCTCACTGCAACCTCCAACTCCCAGGTTCAAATTCAAGCAATTCTCCTGCCTCAGTCTCCTGAATAGCTGGGATTATAGGCGGGCACCACCACACCCAGCTAATTTTTATATTTTTTAGTAGAGATGGGGTTTTTGCCATGTTGGCCAGGCTGGTCTCGAACTCCTGGCCTCAGGTATCCACCTGCCTCGGTCTCTCAAAGTGCTGGCATTAGAGGTGTGAGCCACCGTGCCCAGCTTGGTATTAATTTTTCATATCTAATGAAAACTACATTCTTTTTCTGAAGAGAAAGCAACGTACACAACAAACATTCTTTCAAGGAAAACTAGCAAAGTTATTCTCAGCTGAGGCCCTTCCAAAGATTGGGAATCTTGTTTCACTGAGGCTCAAAACTGTTTTTTAAAAGGTGGGGTGGGGAGGTGGATTCTGGGGGAAGCTCACTCTTACTCCACGAGGAGTTAGGGTAAAATGACTAGAAGTTGGATTTGAAAAAGGTAAGCACCATTACTACATTCTTTATCCAAGGCTAAAATTATAGAAAGCTGGAAGGACCACAAATCCAAGTTCAAAACCTACATTTTACATGTAAGAAAATATATCTGAACAGGTAAAGAGACTTGGCAGGGTCACAGAGCCAGTAGGTGGCAGAAATAGAACCAAAAACCATCATACATGGATCTTAGCCCTAGCTCTTTTACCACAAAACACTGCCTTATGGGTAAATTTGGAAATTGGTTACATTCTTCTCATGGGAGAAAGCAAAGGCTATCTTTAGAATTTATTAGAAACTGGAAAACAGTAATCACAGAGGCCTCCATGAGACCTAAACCCCAATCTAAAATTCATCACTTGGAGTAGAATAGTGTAACAAAATAATATAAAACCACCTGACCCCCCCCCCCCCATATCCTCAGAAAGGACATTTTGGGGAGGGAAGTCCTACTCTTTTCTTTGTATAACCACAGTATAGATAAGATACCTGTTCCACACAACTATTACTAGAATGCTCCTGTTCAATTATATCATTACAAGATAAAAAGAATCAAACCAAGCTGTTCCCCTGCTCCCAAAACATAATTTGGAATTTAACAAAAAAGCCTAGTTCTGGTTCCCAAATCTAGCTAGTCTTCAAAATCACTGGAGAGTGATTCTGATTCTGAAAGGAAGAATAAAGATTCACCCCCTAACCCCCGGCCTAGGATTGGACTGAGCATGTTTGGGAGATGAAGGTGGGAAGCCTAGGAAATTGTGTGTTTTTAAGTATAGCAAGGTAAATGCCAAGTGGGCAAAACAGTGGCAAAAAATAATGTGGATTTCAATAGAAATCAGTAGCTGTAGCTTCATTACCCAACTAATCTGTCCTTTGTTTTTAAAGCAAAGCACAATTTATTTTTATTAACTATAATTATATTCCTATGTAGGATTTTTTTCCTTCATGTCATAGTAATTTTCTTCCCTATATCCATTAAATACCGCATATTTTATTCCGTGCTAATTTCTATGGTTAGATCAATTTATCCCAGAAAGAATTTTTCTATTGTTCCTGGAATCTAAATACTCAAGAGAACTATGAATAATTTGAGAACTACAAATAATTTAAATAAAGCAACAATGTCTACTTTAAAAATGCTGACTCATGTGATTAAATAACAGGAATCAAAATCTACTCTGCTTCTAAAGTACAAAAAGGATTAGGAACAACAGTTGTGTTAATTCTTTTATAATAAAAAATCCAAAATTCTGACTTGACACAATCAAAGCTCATTACGACCTCAAACTCCTGGGTTCAAACAACCCTCCTGAGTATAGCTAGGACCGCTGGTACACACCACCAAGCTCAGCTAATTTTTTCTTTTTTTGGTAGAGGTGGGGTTTTGATATGTATATAGCTCAAGCTGGTCTCAACTCCTCATCGCAAGTGATCTTCCCACCTAGCCAATTCTCACCTTTATTGTTCCCCCTAAGCATTACAGTGTTTATTATACAGGAACAAAGCATTTAACAGAAGTAGCAGTAACTGGTATATTATATTATCAGGATTAATCATAATGGTAAAAAGAAATAATAAAATTTATAGCTTATACATAACCTCCTCACAACAGTGGCAGGACAAGTATGCTGAAAGTGATTTGAGGTTTCGGTGAGATAAACTGTGCCTGAGGCAGCAGGTGTCTATTTGATGCAGAGACAGCATAGTTATCTCTGATAAGCTTTTAATAAAGGATTTTCCAGGGTTTATCAACCAAACTGAGACATTTGGTTACTAATATATAAACAGAATACCAATGCTGTAAGCACCAAGTAAGTCTAACATTAGTCCTTGGTTGGAATTGATTAAAAAAAAAAAATCTTTTTAATGCCCTTGTCCTCAAAATCAAACTTGAGATTTTTTGTTTATTTTTAAGGTGGATTCTTACTATACTGCCCCAGTTGGAGAGCAGTGGCTATTCACAGGCACAATTGTATCTCCCTACAGCCTAGAACTTCTGAGCTCCAGTGATCCTTCTGCCTCAGCCTCTGGAGTAGCTGGGACAACAGGCACACACCGCCATGCCTGGCCTTACTTAAGAAATTCATTTCACCTATCATCAATACCACATACAGCATTTTTTTACTTCTATATACTCTATTTGGAAAGAAGGAAAAGGAAAAGGAAAGAAGGAAAGAGAGAGAAGGAAAAAAAGAAAGAAAGAAAGAAAACATGGAAACAAGTGACAATATAAATTTAACTTAGCAACTATTTCATTTGTGGTAGTCTACTGTCTGACAGTTTTAGCAATCCTGTTAATTACAAGAAAGCAAAGGCATGAAGAAAAATACCTACTCTTCCCCTCAAACAAAATCGTCTGGACCACGCCCTGGGAGAAGCATTCAGGTTGTTATTCTAGTCCAAAGCAATGAGAAATAAAGAAGAATAAAGAACAAAGGAAGTATTTAAGTGTATTCAGTTGTTATTAAAGATGAAGCAGAAAGCAAATTAAACCAATAGGACATAACCAAAAGCCAAGAAAAGAAAAAGCAGTTCAAAAACACTAGCTTTGGGCACTTTCACTTCTCCCTAAATACCTGCTTATTAAAGTCCTAGGACTCTACCCTTTCATTTCTAAATAAAATCACAAAAGTCTTCCAGAGAGTCTGTAGTTCTTCATCACTGTTATTTTCTGTCCCACACCAAAATGAAACCACTCCTTAAATATCTTAGGCTCTAGGCACTCATTCATTAAAAGCCTATTCAAATTTGATAATGGGAAGAGTTCAAATGTTAACATCTTTTCAGGAAATTTTAGTTCTCCACTTGAATGACATACTAACCAGACTATTCAACCAGTCTAAAGATATTATGGATATAAAAAACTGTTAAAACTCCAGAGACCTGAGAAAGTGCTGTAACATTCCTTGATCAGGTTTGAAACCCAAAACTCTATGAAATAAATACCAACCTCACCCCATTAACTGACTGACATTACCACCCCCAAGGGGCCCTATTACCTCAATCATCCTGCTATCCACAGGCAGGGTGGTGCTGACCATGTGGACATTAGGTGTGGACGTTGACCTCTGCCTCTGGGAGAGGGAACCTTCAGATGAGGGACTGGAGGTGTTAAAGGTGAAGGCATGAGGTGTAGAATATCTGTGCTGAGAACTAGGCAAAAAGGAGAAAGAAAATTCCATGATTGGCACTTAGGCTTTCATACTGGTAAAGTCTTTCAACTGATTAAGATGCTTAAGGGCAAACTCTACTTTGTACAACCTTTGACAAAATGTTTGATTCTCTCAAATACGTGGCATCTAAAAATTATCTTAAGTCTAGGTGTTTTTGCATACAAAATTTCGAACTGGATATAATATATGTATTGGAAATTCAATGAAAGGAGAATGCATTATACGTTTTCCTTTTTTAAATAAAGCACCATTCTGAATACTCCAAATTTTTACATCTCCAGGGAAGAACAGATTAACATTTGCCAACCACACTACCACCTATTAAGCTAGTTGGAACTTGCCCAGTTTAATTTAGAGACTAAATTTGAAAACTTTAAGATTTTAAACAGATGGGTAGATGTGCTGAGCATGTCTGCAAAAAGGCCAGGATTTTACTGTTTGTCTTTTCCTACTACAACCAGCAAACAAAGTAAATTAATGGGAATTCTGTTATTAGACAGAAATACCTAAATATGAAATTAATCACTGGCCTCTTCCAGCCAACACCACCCTCCCACCAACCAAACTAGGAACACGCATTAAGAAGTATAACGTTTTCATTATTTGCTCTAAAGATTAGTTTGAGATTTGTTCAGATTCAGGTAATACTCATGTAGGAATTAAAGGGATAAAAGGCCAGCTTTTCTAAGGGAAATTGTTCTATTATCTTGAAAAATTGGCTTCCCACATAATTCTCTGTTTATGACTTTAGAGGCCTGGTTTCTTCTAATCTTCAGAGGTAAGTACAAACTTTTGGTCAGACTTGCTTTTCAAATTATCAAGAAAAATAAAAGCCACACACCAATATATATCCAGATATATACAAATTCCTTATTCTAAGATATGCTGCCTTTACCATTTCCATGGTAGTTTCACATTAAATGTTATCTGATTACACATACATTAAAGTAAGATTTTATATATATATATTTTTTTTATTTGGGCGGGGGGAATGGAGTCTTGCTCCATCGCCCAAGGAGCGCTGTGGCATAATCTTGGCTCACTGCCTAGTGAGTTCAAGTGATTCTCCTGCTTCAGCTTCCCAAGTAGCTGGGCCAACAGGTGCGTACCACCACATCCGCCAAGTTTTTTGTATTTTTAGTAGAGATGGGGTTTCACCATGTTGGCCACACTGGTCTGGAACTCCTAACCTCAAGTGATCCATCCACCTCGGCCTCCTTAAGTGCTGGGATTACAGGTGTGAGCTACCACCCCTGGCCTAAAGTAAAATATTTTGGACATAGATTTTACTTGAAGCTTCAAATTCATATGTAAAACTGAGCAATATGTGAACTCAACAAAACTGATTGTAAAGCTGGAAAAGAGTAAAGACAAGTTACATGCAAACTCTGAGACATAGCAAAAACAGTATGCTGAAAATCAAATTGTTTTCTAAGACACTAGTTTATTTAAATACATGGTTTTAGCAAATGCAAGGCCATAATATAGATTTTAAAGTTAGGGGCTTTATTTTTATTGAATCTCTATATTAAGTTTTGGGACCCTTTCCATCGAGGTTGAACTCAGTATATATTGAGGAAAGCAGAATCTCAAGCTCTTTAAAACGTAATGGCATATTAAGAAATATGCTATAACAGAAGAAGCTATAGCCAAAGTCACTTTCCAGAATGTAAGACCTACAGGTCCACAAAGAGAAACTTTCTACATTTTGCTGTACCACCAGTATCAAGTTCCACAGAAACAGCAAGGGGTTTCTACATTGAGAGGAGGGAATATGAACAAACTCTTGTATTTTGTCTTTGAGCTTCTAACCCCTGCCCCCTGCCACCCACCAATAACTTTCTAAGAGAAAAGCTATGGGTAAAAAATTACCTAACAGGCATCCGGGTAACAGACTCTCGCATACGACGCATAGTCAAAGAAGGTAGTGCTGGGACTCCACTATCACCAACAGTGGAATTTGGAAACAATCTAAATGAAAGCAGGGAAAGACTGGTTTTTAGAGCTGTAGTAATCTTACAGAGATAATCAGCATGCCTTGCTTTTGCAAACTCACAGCTATTCAAACTGAACTTTGCCCAGTCACATTTTCCTCAACTGTTTTACGTTACCTACAGTAAAAGGAACAACATTCCAAATAACTGGGTTTGAATGATTATTAAATGTGAATAATACTGACCTGCCAATAAACATACAGTCTCCAGCGTGCATTTCTTTTTTTTTTTTGAGACGGAGTCTTGCTCCGTTGCCCAGGTTGGAGTGTAGTGGTGCATACTCGGCTCACTGCAACCTCTGCCTCCCAGGTTCTCCTGCTTCAGCCTCCCAAGTACCTGGGATTACAGGTGTACACCACCACATCCAGCTAATTTTTGTATTTTTAGTAGAGACAGGGTTTCACTATGTTGGCCAAGCTGGTCTTGAACTCCTGACCTCAGCTGATCCACCCACCTCAGCCTCCCTAAGTGCTGGGATTACAGGCGTTAGCCACCATGCCCACCCCAGTGTGCATTTCTAGGACTGTGCATTTTTAGGAAATATTGGTCCTATGTCTAGCAGGATCAAAATAATGTTTTTTCAGACTACACAGCATTTTACAAACTATGTCACATAGTGCTTTTCCAGAAACATTTCAACTTGGAAATACATAGATAAAAACAGTAAAACAGGAGGAATAAATCATAGAAAAGTGAGTAATTAGGCACCTTCTTTCCATGAGCTGGGCACTTGTGCTTAGTAAATTTCACAGGTTATGTCAGCAAGCCTCACAAAAACAATGCAAGGAAGGTAATATCCCCTTTATTCAGACACGTGAATGAAAACTCAGATGTGATTATGGTTAATGAGAACACTGAGATTTTGATACATGTCTGTTGGACTCAAAAGCTTGTGCTGCTGGGTGCAGTGGCTCATGCCTGTACCTGCAACACTTTGGAAGGCTAAGGTGGACAGATTGCTTGAGCTCAGGAGTTGGAGACCAACCCAGGCAACACGATGAAACCCCGTCTCTACAAAAAATACAAAAGTTAGCTAGGCATGGTGAAATACACCTGTAGTCTCAGCTACTAAGGAGACTGAGGTGAGGATTACTTGAACCCAAGAGGTTGAGGCTATAGTGAGCTATGATCATGCCACTGCCCTCCAGCCTGGGCAAGAGGGTGAGACCCTGTTTTTTTTTTTGAAGGACAAAAATAAGACAAATAAAAAAAGGTTGTGCCTGCCATTTGTGCTACTCAAGCTCTCATTACAAAATCAATATGTGAGTAACCACGAAAGCAAAAAAGATGTTTCCATTATGGTCTAATAACACTCTCTTGGTTTCTCTAGTACTGTCGAAAAGGACAAAACTTTAAACTTTTCATATTCCTGGTGACAGTTTTTAAAAGGCAGTTTGGACCATGTACTTTAAATTTTTTAATAAAATAATATTTTGTCTATATGAAATATATTGTGTCCTGACAGAAACAAGAATCTTTCAAGATTTTATGTTCAAACAATTTTAAGTCCAAACAACTAAGTTTTCTCCAGTTTGGAGTTAAGAAAATAGCATCAACTGCGCTTTCTGCTCCTTCTCAATGTTAAAGGCTTGTTCAGCATAAGCAACAAAATACAGAGCAGTGTCTACTAGCAACCCAGCAGATGATACTATTAAGAGAGAAAACCAAAAAATCTTCTCATTTTCATATCCTTTTGTTCTTTTCCTTACTGAATCACAGTCACAATATGGCAATCTCAATTTAACAGACAACAAGTCCTATTCCTACCTGCTCATTTTGGAGTATTAATGCCACCAAACCTAGCTAGTTTCAGAAGTATCTGTTTCTAAAGTAGATAGTTTCTGGATCACAATTCTGTAAATGAATCTAGAATCCAGACCTGTCAGTCAAAATCTACAATGAATATCCTTTAAAGTATTTATACTCCTTATCCCTATATTCCTTGAGAAAATGAACAATGCCTTACAAGAGTTGTCTGATATTACTCCAGTCCACACACATAGTAGGTACTTTGGTGCTACAGTGCTCATGAAATTTGTAGCCACAAGTCTGACATCGAAATCCATTGAGCAGGAATTTCTGACAGATGTCACAGAAGGCAAGCTTCAGGAACGTCTTCCGAGCCTACAAGAACACAGGTGTAAATTATGCTGAATAAAAGATGACAAAAGACAAAGTCATTTTCTTCCTTGGCCTCCAAAAGAGTTTTTACAAAAATCAATCATACTTCCAACATTTACAGAATTCATAATCATAAATTAAAGTGTATCTCTGACTAAGGCAATGAAATCTAAATTGCCTTACTGTAAACAATGGCATAAAGAGCCTCAAACAATCCAAATACACACACACACACACACACACACACACATATGCCTATTACCTGAGAAATTTCTGTTAGGCCTGGCAAAGCCCTCAACATGCTAGAAAGAGAGATGTGCAACTTACAAAGTTGTGTGTTGTGAGGGGAACATGATCCAGGAAATCTACTTGAAGTTCTTCTCCAATCAAAGAGGCAGCATCAGTATTCCAATCTAAGCGTGCTTTTTTACTAAAAAGGATTAAAAAAAAAAAACATGAAAGGGAAATGTTTAAACAAGGTAGGAGTTCAATACAAATAACAGCTACCATTTATCACATGCTATAAACAACTCTATATAGCTTTATATAGCCATAAAACAATAATCTATTTAATTCATTGAACAAACCTATAAAATAAGTATTATCATTCCTATCTGAAAAAATAGGAAAACTGGGACTCTAAGAAGGTAACTTGCTGAAGGCCACACAGCAAGTATAAAGGCCTATGTTGGACCACATCTGTTGAACTCCAAAGCCCATGTTCTTAGAATGAAGTTTTCTCTTTATTTATTTAAAACATTTTTTTTTGGTAGAGATAGAGCCTTGCTGTGTTGCCCAGGCTGGTCTTGAATTCTTGGCC